TGTTTGTTAATTTAAACCACTCTAAAGGCTGGCGGGGGGGGGGACTAAAATTCTGTGGGAAACCTGGACACGGAGTTAGTCCATTCTAAGAATCACCAGAAGCTCTGTGGTTTTACCATAGAATTTCCAGTGATTCCTAAGACACAGGCCCCGGTCACACGGCAAAGTTGCCACGGGAGAGGCACGGATGGTGGGCGGATTATCCGGGCGCGATCACACCCCAACATCTGGGAAGTGGAGCGCACCCGTGGCTTACTGCCGACAATGCACCTAAAGAACCTAGTACCTCCAAGGTACTAATAAACGTTTGCCACGGGCTGCCTCCAGACGCCGGTGGTGTGATTGCGCCGGCGCGGGGCATTCCCCTCCGGTCCCTTGTTTACCCGCCGGTGCCGAGGGAAGGACCCATGGTGTGCTGCCAGCGCGTCTGATCGCGTAATCGTGGCTCAAACTGCGCCGGGGCAATTAGCCACGCCTCACCCCCCGCGATATCCGGCCCGTGTGACCGGGGCCACAGTATCTTATTCCAATCAGCCACTGCTGATTTTTCAGGTTGGCCAAGTCTGCAGTGTCTTTCATGTTCTTTTTTTCTTGTCTGAATGCCACGCTGTGTAGTCCTGACGTAAACCTGTCCACAACTGCAGGGTATGCAGTGTACTCCTGCAGAGGTGAGGGGGTCTCTTCTGTCTTTTGCTGATTGTAGCATCTGTTGTATTTTTCTGGTAGGTCTGAATACTGTTTGCAGGTTGTGTTTTTTCATAAGTTTTCCCATCTGTTCAGTGATTCCTTTGATACATGGCAAAAACACTGTTTGCTCTTCTGATTTCATTCTTGAAATTCTTGAGGGCACTTCACACACACACACACACACACACAGCACAAGTCATGAGTCTCCTGGTCTCCGTCATTCCCAGACTGTCTTCTGTGGGTGGCCAGTGCTTCACAGCAGCTTCCATAACCTTACCCAGAGCTGCTTCCCCACGCCGCCGTCTCTGTTCCCCACTCTGCTGTAGAGAAGCTGCATGGAAAGAGGAGTTTCTGTCAGAGCTCTCTCAGCCGCATCTCCCTCACAGGGTGTCTGTTGTGGGGAGGAGAAGGAGATTGTAAGCCGCTCTGAGACTCCGATTGAAGGGCGGGGGTATAAATCCAATCTCTTCTCCTTGAAAGTCAACGTGCCCAATCTCACCCCTGGCAGGGGATGACCAGGCCCGACTTGGTCACGGTGTTCTTATCTGGCTTGGGAGCACATCTGAGACGCCTCTGTCGGAAGGGTGCCGTGGAGAGAGTCTGGGCGGGGGGGCTGCTCATGGGGTGGGTGGGGGGAGTCTGAGAAGCCGGGCTCAAACTGGGGGACTGTGGATGTTGTCTGGCTCTGACTGCTGTTTTCTTTCAGATGAAGAATGCCATGAACTTGCCTGGCTTTGGAAACCTGTCCAGGGCAGGGTGCAAAACACACTAGTAGGATATGTCCCTTCACACTTTCTCTAAAGAGTAGCCCTTTCTTGGGGGAGATAAAATGGCTAGCTGTGTCCTGATGGTGCTCTGTTGCTGATGCTCTATTTGTGTCATGTGGGTCCCCAAATCTGAGGAAAAGGGTGTCAAAGGCAACAATAGCCTTCTAGATTAAGAGGTGTATTTGTGAAGTTTATGAGACACAGGGACTCAGAGCACCCCCCCCCGGGGGGGGGGGACTGCTCATTCAAGCCGAGCAGCTGTCACGTGCACCCCCCTTTTCCCCCAGGGCCCCCCCCCCCCCCGTTGAGGAAATCTGCCGGGCTTTGCTGCATTCATTGGACGCCACAGAATAGACTAGCAAGCCTCCACTGAGGCTGCTTTTGGGAGAAGGGTCCTCCAACAGGTGTTGGATGCGTGACCTTCCGTCTCTCCCACCCCGACTGTTCTTTGCTACATAACCAGTCCGGATGCCTTCCCCCACTGAAGGAGAGGGAAACACTGGTCTTTTTTCTCTTCAGTGGGGCAAAGGCCTCCAATTTAACCACCGCTGCTTTTCTTTTTTTAAAAACGAATGAGGTTCTCCTGGTTGGCGTAATGTCCGTCCCCCGTCCCGTTCTTGAGTGTTCATGCTTTCATGGTGACCAGAGTGGTGTGAAGCTGCTTTTTGAGGCTAGGCTATTTTATGACTGGAAGGACACCTTCCCTCCGTCCAAGGAAAGCATAGCCAAGCCTTTGCATAGCCCTGCTGGGAGCCCGGAGGAGGAGGCCTGACCTGGCCAGTCTGGGTGCCTTCCGCCCCGCTGAAGAGGTCTTTGGGGCGAGACCTGTGTTCCGTGGGTCTCCGTGGCTGCTCAGAGTCCCGGCAGCCTGCCAAGGCATCAACACTGCAGCAGGGAAACAAAAGGAAGGACGGACCCCGTGGTGGTCCTTCAGTGGCCTCCTCCCACGCCTGCAAGAAGACTGTCATTTTGGGAGCAGACAATGAGTCCCTCTCGTCTGCCTGCCCCAGCGGCCTTAAAGGGGAGGGGGCTCTCTGCTTGGAGAGGAGGTCCGAGGAGGCTGCAGGGGGCCTCCTCCTCTCCGGATGTAGAAATAAGGTCATTGTTGGGGGAAGGCCAGGTCAGGATTCTAGCAGCCCCTCCTCCCCCCCTTCTCCTTTGACAGTGGGCAGCAATCCCAGTTAAAGTACCCTGGTATTTCGGGCTCGGACAGGCCACAGGCCCACTGCAGGGGGAAACTAGGGTAGAAGGCCCCTGGCAGCCCCTCACCCTTGTGTGTTTCAGCCAGACCTTGGATTGTTTTCAGGCTAGGAAAGTTGCCAGGAATTCGCACTAAGGAGAACAGGTGAATCCCACCCCAAAAACCGCGGCGGGGGGG